ATTACGACAGAGAACTAACTCATATGGATGTGAAGGTTCCAGAAGCCCAGAGTCTGCCAGGCAAGCCTTCCGCTGTAAGATGTCTCTCATCGTGACAGGTGAACATCCCCAGTCAGACATTTCCTCTGAACTGCAGCACCCAACATGAAGGCCTCTTCACCACACCATGTCAGGTTTCGGAATCATCACCAAACAGAAACTCTTGGTCTTTCTCCAATCCCAAGTTTGTTCTGCCCATGATGAGATTCCAAGAACCCAATCTTGAGATTAGAACTCACATTCCTAACCTGACACCTCAAGAAGTGGGGAGGAACTGGTAATCGAGTGGGAGGAACAAGATAAAATGGAATCTTGAAATTCGCAGATGGATGGCACTAGAAGAAACCACCCTGACTGAGGTAACCCAGTCATAAAAAGACAAGCATGGTATATACTCACTCACATATGGATTTTAGACATGAAGCAGGGCATTGCCAGCCTACATTCCCACCACCAGAGAATCTGGGAAGCAGGGAGGACCCTAAGAGAGATATGCATGATAACCCGAAGAAGGGTTATGGGACCAGATCTCCTAACTGGATTGGGAGCAGGAGGGGTAGAGGGGAGGGCAGAAGGAGATGGGAGAAAGAGAGGGGGAAAAGAGGAGGGGAGGGGAGGACATGGGGGGTCAGGAAGGTTGAGCCAGGGTCTAAGAATAGAGGAGAGAAGGATGAGAGATACCATAAAAGAGGGAGCCATTATGAGTTGGAGGAGAGATCTGGCATTAGTGAGATCTTCACAGATTTACAAGAATGACACCAACTGGCATTAAGGCTACCTTAAGTGCCTGCCCATGATAATGAGATTGATGACTACCTTATATGCCATCCTAGAACCCTCATCCAGTGGTTGACGGAAGCAGAGGCAGACACCCACAGCTAAAAACCGAACTGAACCCCTGGAATCCAGTTGCAAAGAGGGGTGATGACCAAAGGAATCAAGATCAGGCTGGTGAAACCCACAGAGGCAGCTGACCTAAACAAGGGGGGAATGCATGAACCCCAGACTGATGACCGAGAGGCCAGCATGGGACTGATCCAGACCCCCCCCCCAAACCGAACCTGCGTGTCAGAGAAGAGGCCTCGGCAATCTATGGGCCCTTGGAGAGTAGAGTAGTATTTATTCCTGGCATACAAATAGACTCTGGGGCCCATTCCACATGGAGGGATGCTCCTTCAGCCTGGACACATGGGGGAGAACCTAGACCCTGCCCAGGATGATATGACAGACTCTGAAAATCCCTCTTGGAAGCCCTTACCGTCCCTGGGGAGTGGAGAGGGGATGGAGTGGGGTGGGGGTTGGGAGTATTGGGGGGCCGGGGAACGAGGGGAGGGAGAGTGAACTGAGAGTAACAGGTGTAAAAAGATAAAGGAAAAAAAGAAGTAGGAAAAAAAAAGGACAAGAGGTGATGTGAGCGCAGACCTAGTCCCACAGAGAGTAGCATCAGCCTGGTCCACAGGGACCCCTAAGGTGCAATTACATCTTAGGGTTTGTCTATCTGGAAGGAAGAATGCTAGGCTGTCACCTACACCTACATCATTGGCTATGGGTGGAGGAAGCAAATGCTGGGCGGCTGTTTTGTTTTGTTTTTCCAAGAGCTGCTGACCTGACCAGGCTATCGGTAAATTTAAGTGAAACTCAAGACTGAAATTCATTCAGTTGATTGAATGAATTGGTGAATGGCCAGCTGGGGTAGCTGCACAGAAAGCAGAGTCGTGATCCAGGCATGCAGAAGAGCTGAGTACCCTTTTCTCTGCTAGTCTCGCGGCCCCCCGCCGGAATGCTGAGTGCCCGGGAAGGAGGCGGAAATGAGCACGCGCTCCACAGCTCTCCAGCCGAGTGTTTACTTAATTAGTGCCTGTATCCCGAGGCTCGTTTGTGTTTAACTGTGCGCCTAATGGCTGCGGCTGGCTCCGGGCCGGCGCGGGGGAACTTTGGGGACGAGGATAGGTCGGGCCACCTTGTCCCCTCAGGGCCAGAGCCATTGAGCAATTCGGGCAAGCACCTAGGATGTAGGCAAGCTTCCCCAGCAGGAGGGCTGGGCCACTCACTAGCTAGCTGCTTTGGGCTTCTCCTGCAAGTTGCCAGCTCCCACCACAACTGCTGGGGCTGCGTGGATCACTGAAGACTCCAGAGATGGCAGATGCCAACTACCCTCAGCCGTGAAATTGAAGGATTCCGACACTGCTCATTCTCTTAGTTGTGGAAATGGGGGTGCGAGCCAGGAGAGGAACGGCTGGCTGACAAAGCAGAGAAAGCTAAATGGGCCACATCATACAGCCCTAATACTGAAAACACTAGGTAGGCCCTTGCTCTGTGCCAGCTACTGAGTTCAGCGTTTTTAACACATTAATCTTTTTAATCTTCATGTACACATATTCACTTAATCCTGAATATAGCTGAGTACAGTGTGTGTGTGTGTGTGTGTGTGTGTGTGTGTGTGTGTGGAGTGGAGTGATGTGTGTCATGGGTATAAGTAGAGGCCAACATGCATGACCGGAGGACAACCTCCGAGGTAGCAGTCCTATCTTTCACCTTGTTTGAGACAGGCTCTCTGTTATTTATTTGACACTGTGTAAGCCAGGCGAGCTGGCCTGATAGCTTCCCTTGAGTCTCCCATCCTCTCTCCATCCCTCCATAGGTTACAGAAGGGCCACTGCTTTCCATATTACATGGATTCTGCGGATCTGAACATAGGACTCTACCAAAGCACATTACCCACTGAGCCATCTTCTCTATTCTACCCCCCTGTTTTGAAACACAGGCTCACTATGTAGTGCAGATTGTCCTTGAACTTGCAGGAATCATCTTGCCTCCTTATCCCATGTTGGGATTAAAGGCATATACCACCACTCCTGGCTCCAGTACCGTACTTTAGAGGATAGGTGTCAAAATAGTTCCAAACACCAATGGACAGGTAAGGGTTCTGTCCCAGTAAGAGGTGGGATCCAAGCCTGAATCCCATCCAGTAGAGCAAGAAGAGCCAGTGCTTGTCTGATTGAATCACAAGTCCCACTGCTCAGCCAGAGACTTGCAGTAGGAAGAACAGGAAACTATGGATAAACCTTTAAGTCTGAGCTAGGTGGAGGAGAAGGAAGGGAAAGGAAAGGCATCATCCTGGGGTCCTCCAGGGAGCAATGGAAGATGGGGAGAGCTCAGAGGACAAGGGCAAAAAAAGTTAGGTTGGTTCAGAAAGCTCAGCTCTAGGGTTGAGGCTGTAGCTCAGTGGTGGAGCAGCTGTCTAGTGCATACAAGGCCTGTGTTCGATCTCCAACATTGCAGAAAGGAGGGGAGGGGGAGTGGGAAGCTGCCCATATAGGGAAAGGGCATGTATGGTAGGGCAGTTGGAGCCTACGCTTGCCCAGGGACTTGTGTGCCCCAGCGTGTCCCAAGGACTGCTATGCTTGTCCAATACAGTAGAAAGACCAACATAGAGGAACAAGTCCCAGCTCATCAGGAGAGGTGTCCTCCAAGGGACAAGCATTACACAGCAGGTAGTTTTCAGATCATGTACAGTATTTCAGGCCAATAAAACCTACATTTAAAATTGCCATTATTGGGACTGGGGCTGTAGCTCAGTTGACACACTACTTGTTTAGCATGCATGGAGCCCTGGGTTCCATTCCTATAATCACCTAAACCTGGCACGGGGACACATGCCTGAAATCCTAGTACTAGGAAGGTAGAGGCCAGAGAATCAAAAGTTCAAGGCCATTCCCAGCGGTACATTGCGTTTAAGGCTAGCCAGAGATATACTAGGTTTTTGTTTTTGTTTTTGTTTTTGTCATTGTTAAGCTGGTCGTGTTGGGTCGTGCCTTTAGTCCCAGCAGTTAGGAGACTGAGATGCAAAGTTAGCCATGAAGTCAAGGCCAGCCTGAGACTACAGTGTGAGAGAGCCTACCTCACTAAATAAATAAATAATAACTAAAAGGGCAGAAGAGATGGCTTAGCAGGCAAAACACTTCCAACACAATCCTGAATCGCCGAGTTCAACCCCCAGAACCCTTTTAAAGGTGGAAGAAGAGAACTAACTCCACGAAGTCCTTCTCTGACTCACACGTGTGTACAGTGGGCCCATATACACATACAACAACAAGAAATAAGGTAAAATCTCCAGCAGAGAGGTGGCGGTGCAGGCCTTGAATCCCAGCACTTGGGAGGCAGAGGCAGGTGGAGAGGGCAGCCTGCTCTACAGAGTGAGCTCCGGGACAGCTAGGGCTGTTACACAGAGAAACCCTGTTTCGGAGCTCTCCCCCCCCCCAGATAAAAAAAATCTCCATTATTTGCATAAATAACATGAATTTGAGGAAAATTTTATATTGGTGAAAGAAAGCATTTATATCAGGGGTGCTGAAAATAATGGGGCTAATAACTAATAACCGTCTCCCTACCTCCCTCAAGCCATTTGAAGTTACTATGGCGTCTAAACTCTGGGGCTTTCTCTACTTGCTTCCTTCCATTTGTTCAGCTGCAAACGGAAGTACCTATTCTCTCTAAAGTATATCAGATAGTGTGCCGCGGTCCTTTGAGACCTCGATGCCAGTTTCAAAGCCCCAATGCTCCCAGCGGGTTCCCGCGGGAGGTGGGGAAAGTGGCAGAGGGCAGACCCTGCTGTAGCTGGTGTGAAGACACGCCCTGCCTCCATCAAAGCTTTGAACGCAAAGCCTCCGGCAGCATGAATGGGGAGCCTCTGTTTTTTGTCGGGTTTCAGATGCGTCTCCACTTTTTTTCCATTGCAGTTGCCAGCAATGGAATATTTGTCTTCCCGTGCTGCGGAGTCTGAGGTGGAGTGGATTAGGGGTTTTGCTTTGTTATACTATCTTCCAGCGAAGCCAGAACCTGCGAGAGCCACGGGGTACCTTTCAGGAATAGTTCCAGAAGAGCAGGGAGGACGCAGGAGGGTAGCAGGGAGGATTCGCATGGGCTTCGCTGGTGCCTTTGGCAAGCGAGCCACGGCCCCACCTGCGAGGGGGCGGGATCTTGTGACGTTGGACCAATCAGCAACTACCTGAGCGCACCTGGCCTCCTCCTCCTCCCGCGGGCTCCAGCGAGCCGCGGTGCTCAAAGCTCTACCAGGAGTTTAGCGGAGTAGCCTACCGTTGCCGCAGCCTCTTCACTTTCCTTCCGTCATGGGACTCCTTAGAGGGCCTCTCGCCTCCCTTCTCCTTCTGCTTCAGGTACCACAGTGCCTTGCCCTAGTCCTAACTCAGATTGCTCCCTGGAGGGCGGGCGGGGTTCTCCCGCTGCGGGCGTCGGGCGGGGGGTGGTGGGGCACGGACCTCAAGGTGTGTTCCTTGGGGCCAAGGTTGTCCCGGAGGCCCACCGAGGGAGGACTCCCAAGGATGGGTGTGCAGAACCGGGCACGCCTGTGACTCAGCCTCCCTCTTAACCCTTCTGCTCTCAAGACTCAGGTTTGCTGGCTACCAAGCTTGGCCTCCGAGCCCTATCTGGCAGACTTCGGGGAAGCTGAAGTGACCTTGGAGGTGGGAGGAACTGATCTGGAGCCCAGCCAAGCGCTGGGGAAAGGTAAGACCCTCCTGCAGCCAGCCTGGATGGAACTTCTGTGCGGAAGACCATATTTGGTCTGCTTTGCTGTGGCCCTCCGGTGGGGTGTCCGAACCAGAGCTGGGGATGTGTGGGGCTACTTCATATCCTGAGTAAGCGCAGAAAGTGGCTCCCGGGCTGGAAAGGCTCGAGAAGACTGAGCAACGGTGCGCCCACTAACGTCCTTGCCCCGCAGTGGCTGCTTGTCTTGATCTCTGAGTGCCTCGCGGCAGAGCCCCTCACCCAGCCCCGACGTGGAAAGCCTCCCGCGCCGGCCACAGCCGAGGAATGCGCCATGCACATTCTTCCCACAACCCCCGCACAGGTGTGGGGATGAGCGGTGCCCCGGGCCAGCCCCCTTCGCCCTCCTCGGGCCCCCTTTGTGAACCGTGCTTTGTGTCTCCGACAGACAGACCGGGTCTGTTTCTCTTCTCCGGGCTGCCCTCCCCACCCCCCTTCTTCCCGGACTGGAATGCACTCTTAACCCTGCCCTTCCCGGAGGGCCTGCGCCCCTGCAGCCTGCCTGCGAATGGCCTGGCATACCTGGGAGAAGGCCATCGCGTTTGAGGGACACACCAAGTCCCGCACTCCAAGCATCTTGATAGTAGGATGTTAGATCACTTGAGTCTCCGGGGTGGGGGTGGGGGACGCATCTGTGTCCCAAGCCGGCCGGAGACTGAGTGAACGATCAAAGCACATTTTGATCTTTCTGTTGCACTTTTCTCCATTCAAGCTAAAAAAAAAAAACTTGAAAGTAGAGGGTCATTTGGTGCTGAGACCCGAGCATCAACCAGCTGGTGGGGGCTCCTAACTAGAGAGAGGACAATGGAGTTATCTTTGTATCGTTCCAATTTTAGTATATGTGCTGCCGAAGCGAGCACTGGAGTTATCTTTGTAGATCAGACCTGCGTTTTTAAATCAGGAGAGTAACTCGGGGTCCTTGAGTGAAGTTCCAGAGAACTTTTGCATGCATTTTTCTGGGGAGGGGATTTTTGTTAAAACGACTTTCAAGACATTTGCCACCTAGCATTTTTTAGTGCTTCCATCGAAGAACAATCACCCTACATACACATGTATGGGGGTGTCAAAGCTTAAGGGCAGAATGACTCTCCTTTGTTTCTCAAAAAAAAAAAAAAGTGAGGTCCTTGAGTCTGTAGAACTCCTTAAAACAAACAAGAAACTTTGCTCAAATAACTGCAGATTGACAAAATAATTAACACCCAGGCTAGGCTAGGTTTCTTAAAGGCTTGGCTTTAGGGAGCCGGAGCCCAGGCATTAAGAGGCCATGCCCCATAAACTTTAAATTCTTGCACATGGGTTTATTACTGGCGGGCTAACAAACTGCAACTGAGCCAACCTGTAAAAATGTTAACTTGGGCAGGGCCCCAAATCCAATTCCAGCTCCCTGAGGAAGCTCTATGGCTAACCAAACCTCTGCCAAATCCACCTCCCCACCCTCACCCCACCATCACATTCTCTGCTGTATTCCCAGCAGGTATGGCTTTGAGTTCCTTACTGAAGATATATGTATATCTATCAGATTAGCTGTCACTTTATTTGGCTCTAGCTTGTGGGGAAGTGCTGATCAGGTTTTTGATTGCATAGTTGGATTGGCCAGTGCTTCCTGGTGATGTCACCAATTTTAAAACTTTTTTTTTCCTAAGGTAATTCTGCTTTCTGGGATGTCTGGTTTATGATTGTGAAAATGGTAGGTTTGTGCCAAGAATGCACCTGGTTTATAAAACAAAAGAGTGGACTAATATGCTTGGCACGCCTTGGTTTTCTCTGCAGACATTACTGACTCTTGGAGTAGATGTCCCTGGAAATGGGAAGTCACTGTGGTTTTTAAGCAAGAGTAAGTTTCTGGGCTGGTGTGGTGCTATTATGTTGAGACTGTCGAGGCTGGACAGCATGCTTGTAGTCCCAGCTACCCCAGAGACTGGGACAAAATCTCTTGGCCCTGGGAATTGAGGGCTAACATAGAAAATGTAGCAAAATTCTCTCTCTCTCTCTCTCTCTCTTAATTAGTTTGGTGTGGTGGTAGACTCATATAATATCAGCACTCAGGAGGCAGAGACAGTCTGCAGAGCCTGTTCCAGGCTAGCCTGGACCCTATCTCAAAAAAACAAAAACAAAAACAAAAAACCAATATTATTGTGGCCAGGGTGCATCCAGGAGTCTATTCTCTCCTTCCTCTATGATTTCCCAAGATTGAACTCAAGTTTTCAGGCTTATCCAGCAAGATTTTTCACATGCTGAGCCAACTCAGTACCCTTAGTGTGTGTATGTGTGTGTGTGTGTGTGTGTGTGTGTAGAGAGAGAGAGAGAGAGAGAGAGAGAGAGAGAGAGAGAGAGAGAGAGAGAGAGAGAGAGAGAGACAGACTGCATGTATGTATGTCCATCACATGTGTGCTCACAGAGGCCAGAAAAGGGCTCCGCCTTTCTCTGGAACTGAAGATACAGGGCTTGTAAGCCACTGGATATGAATGCTGGAAACTGAACCCAAGTCCTCCACAGGAGCAACTACAGGTCTTAACAACTGAGCTATCTCTCCAACCCAAGATTCCATATCTTTTTTAGCTCTGACTGTCCTGGAACTTGCTATATAGATAAAGTTGGCCTTGAACATACAGAGATATCCCTGCCTCTGCCTCCAGAGAACTGGGATTAAAGGCATACACCACCACTGCCTGGCAAGATTCCATCTCTTAAAGAAAATAAATACAGTTGTGGGTATAGCTCAGTGGCAGGACGAGGCCTTGGGATTGCTCCTTAGTTCTGCAAACTACATTTTAAATTTCATTTAATTTTATTGTATTCGCTGGCGTTAACAGACAGCTATGAGCTGCCATGTGGGTGCTGGGATTGAACCCGAGTCCTGTGGAAGAGCAGCCAGTGGTCTCAACCACCCAGCCATCTCTCCCGCCCCTGCAAAACTAAAATTTAACAACTAAAATGAATGAAACTCCCTAACAACAACAAAGATATACAAGTCTTATTCCCCAATGTATTTCTTCATGGTCTTCAACTGCTGAGATGTTCCTACTTTGCTGCCGCCACCCTAGTTCCTGCTTTTAGAACTTCGATGTCCCTGGATCTGACTAAGTTGAAAGGGTTATCCTGCGGGTACATACAAACCCTCAAGTTTGGATGAACAAACAATACTTTCCATATTACAATCGTTCCTCCTTGCCCCTGGGTTAGGAATATTACAAGCGGCTATGAAGTTGAGCTCAAAGAAAAGATCTGGTATAATTAACACCTTGTTTATGCCTGCCTTCTTCTTCAAAGCTCCTCTACAACTCTGAGCTTGCTTTACCCTCCTGTCATTCCATTGAAGCAGCGAAGGTGAATATTAAATACTTTGAGGTCTTAATCTCAGAGTTAGAACTTGAGAAACCCCATAGCCAAACCCTGCCAGAAGCTTTAAAGGTGGAGAAACAAAGGTATGGCTTCCTGGTTTTAATTTGTTCAATGGTTGGTAAACATCTTTGAGGCTCCCAGACAGAACTTTACTTCCTGCTGCCTGCCCAAGGCCCAGCAGGTCCATTGGAAGAAATCAAGACAGGCTTTGTGAAGGTCAGCCTATTTTGTGTCCTCCACCCCCTTTTTTAAAAGATAGGATCTCTTAATGTAGATCAGGCTGTTTTTGGACTCAAAGAGATCTTCCTGCCTCTGCTCCCATACCTGGCTAGCCAACCCATTTTACAAAAGGAACTCCAGTGGTTGTGATTTTATCCCGGTCATGGTTGCAGCACCCAGTTAAGATTTAAAGAATTTTCTGACTCCATGTTTGTGGGAGGAGGAATCAGAATGAATATTAGATCTCGAACCTCACAGCCACCAGTCACAGTCCCTATTCTATGAGCACTTAGTCTTTTGTTTCTTTGATTGTTGTTGTCTTGGTTGTAAGCCTAGCCTTGAATGTCTGAACCATCTCTCCACCCCTGTTTGTTCGGCTTTTTGAGACAGGCTCTTACTATTAACCCTGGCTGGCCTGGAATTCACTATTTAGACTAGGCTGGCCTCATCGAGACCCATCTGCTCTGCCTCTGTCTCTTGAGTGCTGAGATTAAAGGCATATGTCACCATGCTCAGCTAGTCAGATTTTTTTGTTGTAGGATTTTCCAAAAACATTTCTCCATGGGGAGACAGTCTCTCAGGGGCCTAGTATTAGGAGCTTGACTAGAGAAGTTCATCTGGAAGGAAAGGTAACAGGGTTGTTTCCCCTATTCTGGCCCCTCCCAGTGGGGGTTCCCTAGTCCTGCAAGTGTGATCTGAGAGCAGAGATGAAGGAGAAGTGAGGAGGGAACTTGTGGGGTGTGAGTGCGGTGGTCAGGAGTGAGGAACCACAGCCACCTCCCCATATCCGATGTCAATCATTGAGAGAAACAGCTTCATGACATTGGTAAAGGGTTCTAATTGTGACCCCCTCAGCAGTATCAACCAACTCTTAAGAAGCCTTTGGGTAAGGCTGGGGGCTACTCATAGGAAGCTTCAGCTTTCACTAATGAACTTGACTGAGCCTGAGTTTAAGATGGTTGTGTTAGCTCAGCTACTACTATAAAAACCATCCTTTAGTTTGGAGTTACAGTTTATTCTTTCAGTAAATATGTAGTCGCTATCTGCATGTTTCTGGATCTCAAGAACGGCATCTAACAGTGAATGAATTAAAAGTCCCTGCCTTTGGGAAGCTTACAGTCTGGTGTGAGCTGTTTTTTAGTGCTATGGCTGCCTGGCAAAGCAGGTGCTGGTCCCTTCCCCTTAGTTGTAAAGTGGATAAAATGGAGTCACTGGAGCAGTCACCAGTAAGTCCAGAATGTAAATCCTGGTTGGCTGCTTCCATAGCCCAAGGGGATTCTGTAGTGCCCCATAAATCTGCCTCAGAGGAATGAATGGTAGGGAACTGGGGTTTGGAACCCCGCCAGCTGCCTGCCTGGCTTAGCAGGGGGAGGGCTGGTTGCTGAAGACTCTGCCCTATC